GGCAGGGCGGCGGCAGGAAATGCCCCAGGCCATGCCAGGCCAGCCCGAAGGAGGGAGCTCGGCGGCGATGCTCTACCGGTTACGCTGGCATAGCGCTTGCGTGAGTGTCGGGGGTGGAGAGGGGCGGTGTGGACCAGGCTTTTAGTGGAGCTGAGATCTCTTGGGTCCGGGAGGGTAAGCTGGAAATATGTCCCGCTGGTACGTGTGTCTGCCAGGGCTGCTGCGCTGCCTGAAGTGCAGACGTCTGTCAGGTCGTGCTTTTTTTCCTTTATAGTCAGACCTTGAGGTTATATGAGAGTTCCTCCTGTCTCTTTTTGATAGTGACGTAGGTAGTGGGAGGTACCGTCCAACGAAGCAGACGTAAAACTGACAGCGCAACACAATTGCTTGAGATAAGATGTGTGTATTAAAAAAACTGACTTTCAAACTATAAAAAAAAACCCCAATCACCACTGATGCACTTGATGTCTTCAAAGAGGTATGAGCAGGGCAATTTGCATCTTAGCTTAGCTATCAGGTGCACTCACAGAGATGGCTAGCAGACAAAATAATTAAGTGACAGCTGACTGAGTTTTTTTAACAGTCATCTTTTGCTGCACTAAACATTTTGAACACTCTTCTGATCATGCAATTCCAGTTTCATGTAACTGGGGAACAACAGGCCAATGTCTCTGCACATATGTAGTATTTGCTGAAACTATACTAGGCAGCTGATATGTAGGACACAGTAGTTTCAGTGGTGTTTCAGAATCATAACACCCCCCTTTGCTATTCTTACAGATTGGACAGTGTGGCATGTGTCCTATTCAAAAGGAAGCAAATAGGTAAAGACACCTAATGTTACTTTATGGTAGCATTATGATACTGTTACAAGCAAGGTAAGATGCTTGCCCGTGAGCCTAATTACCTAGGCTGAATAAACACAAGAGTTTAAAGGAGGGGTGAATTGAGAATGAAGTTAAGAGTTACTACTTAAAGTGGAGGAGATGAAAGAAGGACAGGTCCTGAGCTCTTACTCAGTTTACTTACTCAGTTTACTATTTAAGCTCTTACTCAGTTTACTTTCTTTATCTTGAAATGGCCCATGGAAACATTGTTGCCAACCCCTGTTCTGCTTCACTAGGGTTCAACAACTTAAGGGCCTTTATCACAGATGGGAGGTTTCCATCCAAACCATCATCTAGCCTGGCTTTCACAGGTTAGTAGTAGAGTTTTTAAAATGCCACCGATAACCCATCTGATATAGGTCTCTTTAAAATCTCCAAACCTGATGAGTACACATAGTGATAGTTCTTGAAACATTTACAAAATACCCAATTGTGCAGTTTTATGCCTTTTTTTAGATACATTAACACAACTGAGTTAGTTATAGTGACATAAATATTAGGCATTCAACTTTAAGATTTGTCTAGTGTAACTAAATTAGAGCTTCTAATAAGGAAATGACAGGCAGAGGCTAATAAAGCCTGCTCACGTGTGGCATAACTTCTGAGTTTGAGATGGATTTCTGTCACCAGGGAGACACAAACTATGTTTTTATTTGTTTTTTTCTCAGAGGTCTGTGTTGTAAGGCTCTTAGTCTTATGCTGCAATGTGTACAGAAGTCGATAGTTCAGTTTGGGGGTTAATGGAACTTTATTGTGCATTGTTAGATCCCTCACTCTCTTGTAAACCCCCAAGGACACTTAACTGCAATTTGACCTTGTCAGTTTGTGTATCTCCAGTTGATTATGATGTATAGATTATGATATATAGTCAGATCATCCACTTCCTTGTTATCATCACTTCAATCAACTGGAGATAATGAGGAATGGTTCTCTATTCTCCTTCTGCAGTAGTAATTGAGGGCTCTATCTTTCTTGTTTGCACCGCTAAAGCTGAAAGACCTTTTCATACCATTCTTGTTACAGCAGAACTTATTTTTGCAAGCCTCTGTTTGTTCTTGCTTCGGGGTACTGTTATTAATACTCATCTACATTGATCTAATTTAAGACAAAAAGTAATTTTCTTGAAAATCAAATTCATTTACGGCACTAAGTGCAACTCTTCAGTACAAGTTGGCACACTTAAGCCTTCTTGAGATAGATACCACTAGTCATGTTTTAAAGGTATTTTACAAACCTTTCATTCCGGATGTATCAATGACTCTGATGAAAGAAATCATAGTTTAGAAACAAAATTCCTGTGTTGGGCCGAGTCCATGATTTATCTAGTCTCTACTAGGACTAGCTTTGGATATCTCAGAAGAAGATGTATGAGGTCCCACAACAAGAAGATGTGGACAGCCTGTTCTCCACTGCTCTGGTGCCAGTAGTTTGAGATTACCATGGGCTGTCACTGAGGCCGCAACTTGTTTAATAAAAACTATTTTGTATCGATAAGAAGAGTAGCCAGAACTGTAATTCATGCTAACAAGCTTGCTGGAAGCAGTCGTAAACGTGCCTCAGGGTTTAAAGCAGTTGAGTTAATGTGGCTTCTGAAAATCTATTTCTTTATTTTGAATTTTCTGGTTATTTATTTATGCTATAAGAACTCATTTGCCTCTGTTACTTCTTTTTTCCTTTGTTTGGTATACTTAGAATTATAGAAAAAATTAGGTAGGAGCAGACCTCTGTAGGTCATCTAGTCTAGCCTCTTTCTCAAAGCAGGGCTAACTTAAAAGTTAGATCAGGTTGCTTTTCCAGTTGAGTTCTAAAATAGATGGAAGTTCAACAGCCTGTGTGGACAGCCTGTTCCAGTGATTAACCACTCTGTCAATGTGTTTTTTTCCATATAGCAAATCAGAATTTTACTTGTAGCCATTTGTGACTGTTGCCTCTTGTCTTTTTCTGTTAGTTTTGGCGTTAATATTTCCTTTACTTTAACAAAAGATTTTGTTTTATATCTGTTTCAGTTCTTGCTTATTGTCTTTCCAAGCATTGCTGAATTCTGAAGGAACTCGTGGGAGCTACTAACCTGTACAGCACACGTAGTGTGCATGAGCTAGATCCCTGATTTAGCATCGACTGAATGCTTAAATACAAAATAGTTGAACATGTTGTCTCCTCTTCCTTTTCCAGGCACCCCTGGGATACAGTGATCAAAGCTGCTATGAGAAAGTATCCTAATCCAATGAATCCATGTGTGGTAGGAGTAGATGTCCTGGACAGAAGCCTTGACAATCAGGGGAGGTTGCATAGTCATCGTCTTCTCAGCACAGAGTGGGGACTACCAAGTATTGTAAAAGCGGTATGATTTTACAGTCTTATGGTTTGCTAACAATGTGGTGCATTTTTCTGTAATTGTCTGCAATTGCAGCTGAATTCAAAATAAAAGCTTAATTTATAGGAAATATTTGCCAGAAATATTACATAAGCTGTAATCAAAATACTTTGTAGCAGGAATATGTTATAGGCTTTAATATGCCTATGGTGTATATGTCTATATATGCATTTCAGACTGCTCTGTGTCATTTTATATAACTGATAGCACTTACCGCTATGTAGTCTTGCTACTGATAAAAGTGTTTTGGTGTCAGTTAATTACTGTGTGTTTATTTGGGGTCGCTAAGAACTTGAAACATATGGTTTTGATTTTTTTTTTTTTAATTGTAGTCTCTTTGTTTTGCTTTTAGATTTTAGGAACAAGTAGAACTCTGACTTACATTGAGGAACATTCTGTGGTAGATCCAGTGGAAAAAAAGATGGAGCTTTGCTCAACTAATGTGAGTGATAATTTAAGAAGTTTCTGGTAATTAGTTCTGGAGAATGGATGATCTGCGTCTCTCAGCTTTAAGAAATGTGTGTTTGCAACGTTCATCAGAAGGAGGCAATTTCTGCATGTGAAGGCACTCTCCCCAGTCTCCGACAGGAAACTTCAAATAGTTTTGGATGAAGCGCTTGTGATTCTGTTGTGAACATAAGATTGTTTCTTAGAATGCACATAAAACAAAAGACTTTGACTTTTAGTGAAATAACTTACTTTACGTTACACTGACACTTACAACCGAAGTTTTAATTTGAAACTGTTTTTCCCGATATGGAGAGAAAGTATTGTGCAAGATTTTGGTAATCTGTGAACTTCTAACTATACAATTTAAACTGGAGTTATCTGTAGGAGTGCTTTGTCTTTGTTCAAGAGACGCATCTTTCATGCATATTAATCTTCTGTACACTCAGAATAGTGTTGTGAGTAGTCTTGGTCTTGAAGAGCCTCTCTGACTTGCATGCCATAAATCAAATATGGTTCAGCTTTCAACGAAAACTAACAGAAAGCTGTTTGTGCTTTCTGTCATGAATAAGAACTTTGATTAGAATTAGATCTAGGATAGGGGAAGGTGTGTCACCCCTTATAGGTATTTTTATTGGCTGTGTTCTTCTATCTACACTGCTTTGTCTGTGACATTAAAATGAATACTGTACTACTGAGTAGCACTGTTGATAAAAGAACAATGAAAGGCGAAAGCTGAGGACTTCAAGTCTTTTATTTTCTTTTTAAGATTACTCTCACAAATTTGGTGTCTGTTGATGAGAGACTGGTTTACACGCCTCATCCTGAAAACCCTGAGAAGTAAGTAAGGATATTCCTGTGCTTTTTTGTCTGTAGGAGACAGAAGGTTAGTCCAATTCAGTTTAACTATTAAATTTTCTTTATTCTCTTACAGAACTGTGCTAACTCAAGAAGCAATTATTACCGTCAAAGGCATTAGCTTGAGCAGTTATTTGGAAAGTTTAATGGCAAACACAATATCTTCTAATGCCAGAAAGGTACATCATCTTTATTCTGTTCTCCTTTTTTTTGTTATTGAATTAGTAATTCTCAAGCATGCGTGCTGAATATTATATTTAATTTCACTAAGCTTTGTGCACAGAATTTCAGTTGACATTTTGTGGGGCCTCAGCAAGTGGACTGTAATTTACCAAAGCATGCAAAAATGTCACTGTTAAATCTTTGTTTTTTCTAGAATTATACATCAGAACAAGCAAACCCCTAAGTGTATGCAATAGTTACTTTTTTTTTCTCCCCAAAGCACCTTTTTTAAACAGTCACCTCACATTACCGGAAGTTGAAAGGCTGGTAGTGAGGATAACTTCTCTTTCAGCCTTTATAATCTGGCTTTAGCAGTTAATGCTAGCATATTCTCTGTGCTTCTGTGTCAGTTGCTCCCGTTCTTATCTGTTATCGAGTTGTCTCCTGGCCCTTGGCTTGAAGTAGTGTAAGCAGGGGCATATTCTCTGAAGAGATGAAACTATTCTGGCTTTTGTAGGTAACGCTATCCCCGCTCCTCTGTCTTGCGCTTACTTTTTCTATATGGCTTGCAGCCATAGAGCTGTGCTTAAGCACAGGCAGATCTATGGGAGTGCTTGTCACTGACTCTTGGGCACTTTTTCTGGGAAGGAAGGAAGGAAAAAAATGCAGTTGCTGCAGAAGCATAGGTGCCACTGCCTAATACCAGGACGAGTACGAGTGAAATTTGAGCCTATGTTCTGCATTGCTGGAGAGGTTCAGTGTGTCAGAGCCTGGGTATAAGGACAGAAGGAATGAACCTGGGGAGAGAGGAGGCTGATCTGGATGGAGTGAACAAACAGAAGAGGGAATCCGGCCTGGGTAACTACTACTAAGCCTGCAAGGCTGTCCTTTGGCCTGCTCTTTGTCCCTGGGAAAGGTGTTGCTTGACCAAGGAAATGTAACCCAACTAGATAGGCAGCACTGACCAACTAGATCAGAGGGAAGAAAGACCCTTTCCTCCCTTCCACATGCCTCTTCAAAAAGGAGAGGGAAAATAGGTTAAAAAAGTAGGGGGATGGGAAAGGAGGAATAGGTAAATTCTAGGCATTGAAGAGTAACAGTAGGTAGCTGAGCGCTGTCTGCGTTTGTTTGAAAGTCATCAATGGAAGCTGCTTCACATAGATTTTTAATGGGTAACTGGATGAGAAGGGAGTTGTAATTTATGTGGGGCGTATACTCTCGTCTGGCAACAGGACTCCAAACCGTGGCTCGTGACCAAGGTCAGCCTGACTTGGAGTCAAGGTAGCTAAGTACTAGCTCATTGGAATGGCCAGATAACTGGGCATGCTTAGAAGTGCACGTTGAATTTTTCTCCTGGCATTTGTCAAATTCACGTCTCTGAGGAACCCAGAGAAAGAATATAAATATTGTTATTCTCTTGGTACCTGTTCAGGTCTCACCCTTGTGAGAACTGCATTTTTAAAGATTCCTCTTCTGTCCTGCCATTTTCAGATAACACACTGACTCACCAGCTTATAGTCAAAAAGGACCTTTGTGTCCTGTCAGTTTCACTGAGGAGTCTATTCAAAGATGTTAAATTTGGCAGGAATTTTTACTTGCTGTTACTAGCCCTATCTTTACCCACTTACCTACTGTGCTTTTACTAGCTCTTCTAGAATGCTATGCTGTGCTTCTGTGTTCTTAGCACCCTTCTTAGACTTCATAAAAGTTGCTAGAAAATGTTTTTTCATTAAGAAGAAATAGGAGGCAAACAGTGAGATTTTGCTCTGAGGTTTAGAGATGGCAGATGATACCTTATTATTGTAATGATGATGGAAAAGTCATTTGCCATATGTTGTACATCTTTTCTGTGTTACTCCAGGGGTGGGATGCTATTGAGTGGATAATTCAAAATTCTGAAAGCGCTCTAAGCTAGCAGTTCTCCACATCTACAGTTTATACTAACTAGTGGTAATGCCAGCATTATTCTTCTTGGTACAGCATTTCAGCTTTCTAGCAAATGTGTGTGCATGGGCTGTTGTGATGTAACCTTCATAAATTAAACTGCATGTATATTTTATATACATTACATACAGGAATGGCAAACATCTTCATTACACTGAAGTTGTAGAGAGTGGGTCAGGCCTAGAATGGATCAGTTAACCCAGGCTTATGTCACTGAAAGGACAACTTGCTGCAGCCATGTCTTATGCCACGGTATTGCTTATTGGTATGACAATGGAATGGTTACTGCAGATAACTAGGCATGTGAATAAGTCCCTATACCAAGTGTTTGCTCTGATCTTGGTTTCTGTGGTTTCACTGTGTAAAAGGAACACCTGAAGGAATTAATGAATTGGTTAGTCACTGGAACTGGCATTATCAAAATGAAACAGAATTGTACCCTTAGGATATAAAATTGATTTCTCAAAACGGATTGCCTAACAAGGGTAATCTTTTGCATAGTGAAGTTATATTTGCTTTTCTTACGCCTGAGGAGTATTGCTGCCCTTCTGTCAACTTCTGTGAAAATCTGTACAAAGCTTGAAGCTGTGAGAATGCCAGACTTTTCTGGGTGTTTTGTAGTCATAGTCATTTCAGTAATGACATGTCCTTTAAGCAATGTGACTATGACGAACTCTGACTTCAAGCCTTGAGAGAGCTAAGTGCAGTTGCCTCTGTGGTACCTCTGTGCTGATTGTTTTCCTTCCACTAGTCAACCTAGCCTGTCTCTGTCATTCCTGTATTGGCATATACTTCAACTAATAAGATTGCTTAAAAAAAATCCATCATGCTGCTTCTCTTAATTAAGAATGTAGGGTTTTTTCAGACTTGTTTATTTTGAGATCAGCATACGTGGTGAGTGTTTGCTGTTAAGTTTTCATTCCACTAAACTTCCATGGCTGTCTTTCTAGAAAACCTCAGCTACAGAAGCTCAGCATTTATCAGTTACCTAGGCTCTGTCAACAAATCTCCACGTGCACTGTTTGGTCTATTAAACACACATCATACTGCTAACACATGCAATAAAGACTAATGTAATATGCATGCTTCGTTATGAATGTGCTTGCTTAATGAGTGCTAGAAATTATTGTACACTATGAAACTTTATAGACCAATCCTCTGTCAGATTTTTTTTTTTTCAAGCTGGGTAGTTCTATGATACCTGGAGGCTTTGCATCTCTTTAAGATTTGTAACTTAAATTCCCATGCAAGATACTACTACACTTTCTTGCCCATATCGTGGGTTTATTCTTAGCTGCAAAATATAGCATATGCAGGACTAAGGAAACGTATGCAGACCTATGTAATCTTAAGAGCAGAAGGAAGTATCTTGGTAGTCTAGTTTGAAAGTCACAGTTCTGTTGTTATTGTTGTTGATGAATACATCAGCTAAAACACTGTGACCTGGTTGTTTCATAGTCAGAGCCTGAAAAGATTCTCAGTGATTTTCTACTGAGCATTTTCTACGTCAAAGATATTTGACTGTCTGACAAGCCTGATCTTCTTTGCTTGATAAGATAAATATAACGTCTAAGTTGTTCCTGTCTTACTGAGTTCTCTGTGCATGTGTTACCTAAGAGGACATTTCAGCCTGACTTTTAAATATCCAAATGCGTGCTTATTGAAATATGATTCCTCCTCCCTCTCCCTACTTTGTACTTTGAAGAGTACTCTACTCAACTAATTCTTGACTACTTACAACTTGTTGCCATGCAGTAGCCTACACTTGTCTGGGTGCTTTTATGCATGCTTCACTACTGTTCCCAAGTCTTGCACAGGGCCTAGAGATGATGAAGTTATGACCTGCTGAAACATGGTCAATTTGGTGCTCAAATGGAAAGCACTCAAAAATTGAATCATACTCTGATAAGGGTTTTTTTTTTTTCCAGAAACCCAGACTTAACAATGCTTGCAACAAAGATAGTGTATCAGAGTTCAGAATAAAACTGTGACTGTGGGGCTTTCCCCCACCCTTTGCCTCAGTCTCTGCAGAGGACTTGAACACTGATGCTTGCTTTTCTAAAAAATTCAGACTCTTGAGGCTCAGACCCTTTATCTCCAAAACTCCTCTGGACTAGGCTAAAGCCGTGTGGCTCCCAGTTACTGCTCTCCGCTGTTTGTACTTCTTGTTCTTATTCGGATAATAGTGATGAATGTCTCTGGCTTCTCCTTAGATGAGAAAAGGTCGGGTGTTTTCCTGGTCTCATAACATCTGCTTGTTTTGGCAAAAGCTGTCATGCTGAGAATGTGAAGCTCTGAAATTTTGCACTTTAACTTAGTTAAGGTGTATCTGTTTATATCTTTGGCTTAATTATGGGGCTGCACACTCATCTTGTGGACACTGTGGCATGGCCGGCTGCAGGGCCTTCATAAGGCAAAATGTTTTCTAAGTGCTAATTTAGCTGGATTTGACTGCTTTTACTAAAGTGTTGGCTTTCAGTACCTTTAGCTTTGAGATGCTCCCTACCCATTCTGAGAACTGGATAAAGCAAGATCATGCCTTGATGTAAAAGGCGCGATTGTAGTCTTTCAGTTAGTTTCTGGTTTACATGCTGAAAAGTTGCTGTGCATAAATATAGAACTCAATGTGATTCTGTCTTTGTAATCTCTTACTAGAGATCAAACACCTTAGTTGCTGTCTCTAGGAGCACCTGGAAGACTTGCTTGCTTTCCTCTGGATCATTCTCTCAAACTGTCTGTAACTCTGTTAAAGGTTCTGAGAACAGTAGCTAGATTTTTTCCGTAAATTTGGGATGGCAGGGGCAGTAAACTGTACAAACAACAATGCTCCTACATAACAGAACTTAGCTGCTGAATTAGGCTTTTTGCATAGGTGCTCTATTGGTAGCTCACACCAACACTGTATTAAGTTCTTGCATGTGGGTTATGCAAATGTCTGCAGTGAAGTTTCAGTAAGAAGATACTAAAAAGTTATTCGTATAATCCTATTTCAAACTATGCAGGATATGGAAATAATTTTAAAACAAATCTCATGTCTGACAGAGGAAAAGCTATAGGAACGTGAATAGTGGCATTGTGTCTGTTCTGATCCTAAATTACAGTATTTCTCCTGGCAGGGTCGAGATGCCCTGGAATGGGTGATCAGCAAATTAAACACAGAATTGGAGGAGCTGAAGTCAACGCGCGAAACCATGAAATCAGCCATGGCAGCAGCATCAACGGAAAACTGAAGCCAAAAACTACCTAGTAACTGAGAGAAAAGTCTTATTCTGGGAACTTTTTTTGTGGAACACCCTTCCAAGGTTGATCTGTGCAGGTTTTATATGTTTATAAGAATATTCGATCAGAGGGAAAATCTAGGAAAAGTACTCTTAGCTCTTGTCTCCATAGCAGCTCTTGTGGCCTACTGAATATGACCTCCTGCAAATGCTCTTTTTGTTTAAACAACCTCCTTTAAACATTGGAAACAAAACATTTAACGCGTTTGAAACTTCCCAAAATGTGCCTTCTAACAAAGGTAGAGAATATATTTCTTATTTTACACCATCTTAGCTTTTTGTACTCTAACTTTAAAAGAACGCATGTGTGTTAATTAAGGGTTTTTCATAAGAGCATTTGTTCTATGAAGGTCTGATAGGTACTAAAGCACTGAATTTTTTCTGTTTTGTAACCTCTTATGACCGTTCAAAGGGAACTATGTGAGTGGGAATGTGATACTACGGAAAAAGATATCTAGAGGATCATCCTGAAAAGCTAAAACTTGTGTGGTACTAACTCTTCTTAGGTGTTTAACTGCGCTGTCTGAACAAGACCCGCAGATACTTTACCTCTTGGATGTTTGTATCCAAACATAGATAAAGTTTCTATTGATATTAATGGTCTAAACCAGTTGCTTTTTGTAGGGAGAAGAGTATAATTTATTGTCCTATTTATTGACTTGCTGTAGTTCCTCTCCTCGCTACCAGAAGAGCAGTGGTAATTCCTGGAAGGTGCTGGGAAATAGTTCTTTTATTTATTTCTAAGAAGGCTTTTGTAGGCTACTTGAACGAAGAGACTGTACTGTTCCACTGGTCCTTGCTTTTGACATTATGTCTTAACTGAGGAAGGGACTCTGATGCAACGAGTAGAAGAGCTCAAATGAGAAGTAAGCAAGAAACTTGAAATCCAAAGGGTAGCATCTCATAAACGGGTACTACTTCTTCTCTAAAAGAAGACGACAAAAGTAGAAGGAAAAACAAATGGACTCTCCTTTTCTAGTGGTTTCCACAAACTACTGACTACTGGTTTAACTTAGTTTTTTTTAACACTTTGCCATATTGGCACAAAATATTTTTAGGATCATTTTAAATATTTCTCGTTATGCGGAAAAATAGTCTAGTAACTGCAGAAATTGCTTTCTTAAAACATACATAAATGCAGATTAATAACGGAGGATTAGCCTTTGTTTGAAGTTCACAAAAACTTTCTTTTTTGGTCCAGGCTTAGTATACATGTTTAATGCAGCCCTCTGTTAGGGCGTTTTAACTTATTTTTTTTGTGTGCGTAGACGCTGCAATAAATGTTGCAAGGATGTTTACTGGTGCCAGTGGCAACTATGTATTTTGGAAGCTGTTAAAGAGCACCAGCAAATTCTGTAAAAAGTAGAAGAGTAGAATGTTGGTCGCTCTGTTTTGAGCTCATAACTTAAAATGTCTGTAGCTTAAGGCAAATTGCAGAGTCCATGTTTTCTAGCTTGAAAGTGAACATTAATTTAGGTGCAACTGTAGTCTAGCTGAATTACATGATCCTAATGAATAAACTTAATTTAAAAAATATTAATCAAAAGCAATTAACTGGGAAGCTAATATTTACATTGCTCTTTTAATATGGACCTAAAGCCTTTATTGTTTTGGAACAGAAACTTACAGCTTTAGGGTGTGGTAGCAGCTCCTCTTGTGGAAGATGTGCTGTATAGCTTTGGTGCGAGTCAATTGTCATGCTTTTCCAATGAATGATGCTAATCCCTGGATAAAGAACGCAGAGGAGTGTTATAGCTTGTTGTGACATCCTGTTAGAAAGGGGAAGGCAGCTACTGCAGAACTGCACAAACAACAGGAGATGAGTGTGTGTGTGTGTGTGTGTGTAAACCTGTACTACAGCATTTCCATATATGCCTGTTGCAGGTGATGGAAACTTGACTGCGAAGGGGTAGAAAAGTCTTATGATACATTCATATATTGCTTCAGTTCAGTACAAGAATTATCTAAAGCCATTCTTACACTGGATTTGAAATAATTGCTTAGTGTTATGTTAAAGTTGACTAATTTACCTACAGCAACTTCCAGTGCTGGCTGGTGTTTCAGAAAAGTCACTGCAGGCTCCTGTTTTCTGTCCAGAGGCAGCTTTGTCTGCCACACCTTAGTCAGTACGAGTTATGCATTAATTTTCTAGATGACTTTCTTGACGCTTTTTTGTCCTCCACAAATTCATAGATGCCTGTGTTAACACCTCTCTTTTCTGATTTCATTCCCCACTGTCGGTTTTAGGCTGCTTTCTCTCTGTTTCACACTACTCAAGAAAGAGCTAGACAGCTAGGGCGCATAGTTGTCTGCTCTCTCTGCTGCTTCACTTGCCACCGATCAGCACCCTGCCTGCTTATGCTCTGTCCTCTTCTGCTTTTCTCTGGGCTACATGGGAGAGGGGAGGCAGGGAAGAGGGAGAATTTCTTCCAAAGGCCTGGCCAGGCACCCGGCTGTCTCGCTCTGCTGCCAGAACAGTGCTGCTGTTTCCCACCTTTTTGCTTCTGGGCTAGGCATAACACCCGTTCCTCTGGGCTTATTGATCTTCTTGTGATGGGTAGTTTTACATGTGTGTTTGTAGGACCATGCAGTCAGTGATCACATTTAGACCCAGTAGACTTTGCTTCAGTGTTTAGCAGATGAAGTGGTATGCAATTTGCTGTAAGCTTCCCTGGAGACTTTCACTCTTCTGCCTGCTGCTCATCTGATTTCAATGCAGGTGTCCCACTCTTCCTCTCCCTTGACTATGAGAGCCCTATCTGTGGGATCCAATGGTATGTACAGCCCTGCTGTACATAGATTGCCTTAAAAATTGTGCTATCTGCCACAGTGTTACAGTCTGAGGCGTTGGGCAAAAAACCTGTGGAATTGCATACCTTGGTCCTATACACTAATCCTTCCCCAGAGAAACCCTTTTCCCTATCTTTTCTTTATTTACTGGTAATGGCTACAACATGTTTCTGAAGTCAGTTTTAAGTCATTTGTGCACTGATTGAGCTGTTTGTTAAAGACACGGAGCCAGCAGTGATGAAAAATGCTAGACTGCTTTTGGAGATAGCCTTCAGTTTGGTGCAGCAACAGCCTAGTACATAGGAGGAAAAAAGTTGATAAAGCAGGAATGGTGTTAAGTCAGTGCTCGTTAATTTGGAAGGATCTTGAAATGCTGGGGAAAAAGCAGAAGAGTTCAGCACTGATAGTCATACTGATTAGCAGGTAACAAGTGCAGTTTTGAATAAGAATCCTGTGGTTTAAGAGTTGAAAATAGGAAAGTAGCAATTGGTGTGTTTAGGGGGGGGAATTCACTGTCATTGCTCAAGCCCCTGAAGCCTGCAGCTCAGTGTTGCTCAACCATTAGGTTACAATTCAAAGGAAAGGAGTTTGTGGTGGGGAGGAGACGTGTGTTGGGAGATGGTTGAGTTTTAAGCATTTATTGCTAGCATATTGCATCAGAAGGGTGACCGCTTGCCCTGCCCCATAACTACAGCTGGTTCTTGCGCTGCTGCTGCAGAAGAGGTAGCCTTTCAGGCTGCTGATTTGTGACTGCAGGGGAAAAGATGAAGGAAGGCAGTGACAGGTCCAGGAGCTTAGAAAACTGGGCATGTTAGCTCTTAGCCTTGAAGGATTTTAGGATGCTGAAGTTAACAAAATTGAGGTTAACTCTGGTTTATGGCTGGCGTCTATATATTTTTCTTGCTAGTGCAGAAAGGCTGTTGTTAGCAACGAAAGTCGTTCACTTAAAACTGTATAGTAAAACGGCCTTGTGTCTAATCTGTAACTGTCTTGCATAGACTGCTTTTTCTTTCTAACTTACCTTTGCTCCAGCATCAATCTTGCATGCCCCCACCCTGCCATGCTTCCTTCTGCCATCATGTCAGCAGGCCCAATGGTGAAAGATTCCTATTTGCAGGGAAATTGAGAAATTCTAGCATAAGTTATAGTATTCTCAAAAGACCTGCTTGGCACAAGTAAAGAAACTGAACTGCACGCTTGAAGTATCAAACATTTATGTATTTGATGCTGTAAAGTAGCACTGAGTAAGATGAACTCAAACAGTAACATTCCTTGACCTGACAATTTTCATTTAAATCTTTAGGTGGAGCAATTTTTCCTATTCTTGCATCTTCTTAGATTGTAAGCTCTGAAGGCCAGGAATCTATAAAGTGTCTGGGTACACTGTGGTGCTATCTAAATAAATTAAATGTTCAGTTTTTTTTAAAAAAAAAACAAACTTGTGTAACTCCTGTAATATAAAATGGACTGTTGGTTTTACAGAAGTCTTAAAAATATATTTTTCAGAGTTAGTCTGTGCTGGGTAAGCAGTAGGACAAAATAATAGGCTTCCTAGAACTTGCTGTAAGCCGCAAATTACACTGTTCAAAAGCTGTGTAGTTGTTCTTTGTGTCTCAGTGTGTATCTCCCTTTGGATCAGGCACCTGGTGTATTTTGCAGTGAAACGAGAAAGAGTCATCTAAAATGATTAGTCTTGATCTGTAAACGAGAGCTGGCTTTTTCTCACAAATGATCTTTCCCTCTGTATTCTCCCTCAATGAACACTACTTACCACAGGTCAGAATTCAATACATAAGTTATCAGCCTTTTAATTGCAGCCCTAGGAGAAAGGACATGCTTTCACTATGGATTCATTCACAGAACAAGGCTTTTTTGTGAAGCAGACCTGTCCTCTTAATTCTTCCACAGTTAAGGTTTCAGATATGCTGCTTTTTTTTTTTTTTTGGTAAAGTAAAATCATCGGTAAGGATTTTTAATTTGGGGCCCTGCTGGTTCAATACTTACCTGTCTTTACCTTTGTACAACTTTTTAAAACTAGTAAAAATTTGTAGCAGGTAAGATTCAGTTCTACAAAGAAATGCAGGACTAGATAGACTTGACACCATGAGCTGTGCTCTGTAGCAAATAATGCTAACCATCTTTTCAATTAGATCAAGAAAACAAGACCAGTGAAATGCTATTTTAAATAAATTTTTTATTAGTAATGCTTAAACAAGAAACTGCATTTCAGTACCATGTAATATGAAAACAAGCAGAAGAAAATTCTATTGCCTTTCTCGATTATAACTGAAGGAGCTGGTATACCTGAAGCCACAGAGAAACAACATGCGCGTTGACAGCACAGAAGCGCAAGGTCTTGAAGTTCAAAGGGGAAAGGCTCGTACTTCGTCCCTGTTCATGTCCAAAAAATGCATCTCATTTGATTATTATTTTTTTTTAAAGGGGATGGGGGCAGACCAGCTTTAATAGCCATACGGCTCAGATAATACTCATTTTATGTATTGCATCTTTGTTTCAATTCCAAGTTCACAGGTTATGTAACTACCAAGCTCTTCAAATAAAAACATGCTGTTTTAAACTCGGGCCTTGGCCTCTAGTACTGCTGTAAGCTGGGCCGTGAGAATGTGTCCTCTGTATATAGGCACATCAAATTAATTGGATGATTTGGAATCCAAATTTCTGCTGGAAGTTATGTCAGTTTGGGACCATGTCCATTAACTCTAGATTTAGCACTCCTTAAAATTCAACTTAACCCCCACTGCTATTTGTTGGCATACAGCACAGTGTGATGTGACAAGGGCAATTCCTAGCCTGTCCTGTAAAAGCCAAGGTGTTGCAGGCTCCACGTTACCCACGGGTATGTCTCTGGTCAGAGAAACCCAAGGAGGGATCTAAAGCTTAATGGAAACACTACAACTGCATGGGAGGCACCAAGAACATAGCTCGCCTACTAAACTGCTCACCTTTTTGCACATGCAGTTTTTGTTTTGTTTTGTTTTTAATCAAAGGGGTTACTAACCAAACACATCTCTTCCAGCTCTAATCATACATTAGGTAGCCTGGCATCTCTGGATAAAGACTGTGTGCTTAAAAACGGTTTTGATTAGCTACAGAAAGGTTTGTCAGCATCTTTCCAAATGGCTTCTTCTAGAACTGTTCTGCAAAAAACTCACTTTATTCAACTCAACTTTAGCCATGCAACTCCAATGGCGTCTTTCATTATTTCAGGATACAGAGTCAAGTCTACTTTAGTTATTTGAAAGTCAGTTCAGCCAGGCATTGCTGCTGTAAAACAGAGCAACCAGAGAAAAAAACTGAAAACTACTTTAGTGAATTGCAGTTAAGTGCAAACACTGACACGTAACTTTTGCTGCGTTAATTAATTTGATTAATATTGTTTAGCTCCATCTCCTGCTTATGCTCCATGGCATTCTTTGAGTGCTGACTAGTGCTGTGAAAGTAATTCGTAAATCTTTGCTTAACAAACTGTTTTAAAGTTTCGAGTATATGGAATTCAATTAACTTTTCATAGTAGTGCTAGTTGTTTTTAAGTACTGAATGCTGATGGGAGCTTGCAGGGCAGATTAATATTAGCACTAACAACTGAGCGTTCATAAAACACTCTTATCAGTAGCTCTCCAAATTCTTTAAACAGTTGTAACCAACCACTTTGTAGTTCCTGTTTTTGCAGGTGGGGAAACTGCAGCACAGAAGGGCTTGCAGCTTACTCAGGGTAAACCAAGTAAGAAGATCCTGGGACTGGTGCTGGGATTGTTTTTTTCCAATGCTAAGCCAGGAGCAAGCAGGTCTGTGGCTCCCTCACTGCCTCGTGGGCTTGCTCTGGGCTGCCAGAGCTTGCATGCCCTGTGCCAAGGGGCTGTGGTCTTGACTTGATCAAGGTGCCAGGAGGGCAACAGTAACTGACCGGCACTTCCATGTCAGGACACAGAGTCTGTACCTTGCTGTATCACAGCAGACTGACACATGCCCCTTTCTGGTTGCTTTCCTATTGAGAAATTTTGGTAAATAGTAATTTGAAGTACCTAAACGATCTGAAGCACTTCAGTAAAAATCAGACAAAAACAACAGAACAGATTTATTTTTTTATAGATCATCTGGAATTAATAAGTGTTCCCAGATGTACCTTAAGATGCCTAGATGCAAAAGACAAAAAAAATACACCACAGCAGGTCCAAGCTACTAACATGGGAACACCATAAAGTTTTATAGTAAGATAAACATAATCCAGGTATTGTAGCACCAGAGCGCGCACAGTTTCAGCACCTTTCCCCTATGCCTGTGTGGTGTCACCATTTCACAGATGACCAAGCTCATAGGAGAGACATTCCTAAAAGATGTACAGAACTGCAGGATGGGATAAAGCATGAAGGTAGCAATCATGGCAGTCTGAAATTGGTGCTTTTAAGTTATTTTTAAATTATACAGCATGCAGCCCATAACTAACCACAGAAGCTGATCCTGAATTTTCCAGGGAGACGAAGGAGGAGCTTGAAAGAGAAAAGGGAACACCACGTGAGTTGGGATAAAAAGATTCTCCCTGCTTCTAGTTTAAAACAAACAAAAAAATTCTCCAAAACAGCGCTTCTGCCGCAAAGATCAGGGATGGAGATTTTTTTTTTCAAAGTCTGTAATACATGCAGGAAAAGTGTGCCTCAGCTCCTGTGTTTGCTATAACAACACCTTTTTTTAACAGGGGGCTTTGGCTAGAAATGATGACTACATGCTAATCATATCACTGGGGTTACATAAGCAGTTTTATTGCTATTCTAAGAACACTTTGACATGTTTCCTTCCCTTCATGCAGCCCAGCCAGTGTTCAAATGTTATTCAATCATTTTCATTAACACTTCTTGCCAAAAGAAGCAGCTGACTGATCTTTACAAAACTATAGAAGCATGAAAAAGAAAAGGCGAGAACTTTTACATTTGCTTACACATGAGTAATTAACACAGACAAAGGCTATAATGGAAAGGCATTTTATTTTTGCCAGTAACGTCCCGCCCTCCCCCCTTGCCCCAATATAAAGGAAATAATGGGAGGGGGGAGAAACACAACAAACCCCATAAGCAGTATTATCACCATGAACATTTGAAACTTCAGGTTTTATACGCGTGAGAGCTGCAGCAAAGACCTGCTCGCTACCTCCATCACAGCAGCACGGCAGGGCTGGCTTTGAATTCTCAACAACCAGGCTCATGTACAAAACAATACCAAAACTGTTGCTGCCAGCTGTGTATTTGACTCCTTGGGTCTCTAATGCTATACTTAAACAGGTCTGGGGCATATTAACACAGCTAGAAAAATAAAAGATGTTAAAAATTCATGGATGTGACCTCACTGTACTAGTCCCACATTTTTTTTTTTTCTTTCCCCCCCCCCCCGCGGTAATTCACTCTAAAATGCCTATGGAGTGCAGACGGTCTGAAGGGGCTGAAAGCTTTAACTCTAATAAAGATAATAGCCAACACACATATAAATAGGACTCATTTTCTTTTTAAAATGTCACGGAAAAGTCAATTCTCATTGCATGATTGATGGCGACTTCCTAAATATTAATAAATATATTACACATATTTACAAGCTTCTGATTTCTTACTCCGACATGAATATGATGTTGCGACCATAAATAGGACATGCTGGGCAGCACCGCGAGGTACACAGGCAAATGCCTGGCGTGGATTTGGGATGCTAGCGCAAGCAGCGAGATGGAACGCTAAAAATAACCCACTCCGCAGAGAGCCAGGCAGAGAGCGAGCTGAGCTCCTCCAGGCTTTGCATCATCACCAAACCCATTGCTTTTTCCTTTGCTGAATTAACGCCAGCATAACACGGAGCAACTGTGGCAGAGAGCAAAGGACGGGAGCAAAAGGGGAGAGGCAGCCCCACTACAGCACCTTTCCCGGACCTTGCCAGCGCTCGTGTCAGCAGTCCGGAGGGTTTTTTTTTTTTTTTTCCCGGGCAAGAAGGGAGGTGAGCGTGAGTGGCTACCTCCTGCCCCACAGCAGCGCTGTGTCAAAACGCCGGAGTAGTTGATAAGCCACCTTGCCGTGTGGGGTCTGCACGCTGCCCCATGCAGCTCCAAGCCCACTGCTGCTGGGCGTCCGAGGGCAACGAAGCCCCACAAGGTTCGCACTCTGCCTCCAGGCCTGCCTGGACGCGGGGGGCAGCCGGCCCCAGAGGGACGAGGGCACCGAGACGCTGCTGAGGTGGCGGAGGGAGTGCGGCTCCCACGGAGGGGCTGGCGGATGGCTCTGGTGTGCAGTGGGGACTGATTGATGCCCCTTTGCACGCTCAGGATTTACTTGGTCCTTCATTCTGCCTGCTCTGCGATACCCTAAACCCTTCTCAAAGGAAAATTAAGCATGCTAGACACCCTGCACCTTGGTGGCTTGAACTGGAGTGAACTGTAACCTGTGGCCAGGGCGTTTTTCAGGAGAAAATTGTAAGAACAACAGGGGAGATTCAAAGTGAGACTTCATGCACTTCTTTGAGTCTAGTTTTCCTGATGTGACCACTGTGCAGCAGACACAAGGCCTGGTTTTGCCACAGAAACAAGAGAAAGTGCTGATGTGGTTGAGATCAGGCAACCCTCCAGCAACAGCAGACCTCTCAAATCAGGCCCCTGTGCTACTCACCGCCCGCAATCCTGCAGCCTTATCTCACTCAACACACCAGGTGCTTCAACCTGCCAAACACGTTTCCAGAGGTACCCCAAAGAGAGGGCCAAGACACCTTACCTCTCATGGGACAGCAAAAGAGGGAGAGTTAGCCGTGAGCCCTGCTTTTCCTGTTTGCGTCAGTTCACGCAAAGCTTAAAACGTTATTTCAACGAGCCCTGTGTATGCAAAAATTCTCATTTTCTAAAAAGGTGTTTAAAGAAAAATAAGGATGGGTGAGTCCCTGGGAAGGTTTAAGGAGACTTCTGCATGTGCTTTTCCAATTAACACAAATTTATGATATGAATGGCTGCTCTGAAGACTGCAATGTAACCTGCAAACATACTTTGAAGGGGAATCCTTTTGGCGCTGGGCAGCAGGAGGCAACCGGCAGCGCAAGTGGAGCGCAGCTACTGCACGGGGCCAGGCCGTCGCCGGCAATACGCAGCCTCTGCACCACGCGCTACCAGCGCCTCCTGGGGAATCTGGCCCCTGCCGGGCTTTTAAATCTACAATATTTGGACAGGAGAATCTGTTCTGATACATACGCATTTAAAATCAAGTTATGTAAATCCAGTCCCAGCTACTGTGGAGCAGTTCTGAGGTATCTCTCATTAATCTGAAGTATAGAAATGTTAATAAATAGATCTGAAATTTTTCTGCTATGTCATTCTATAATACACCGCTATATAGATATTAAATATGCCTCAGGGTATTAAAAATTGTATGAAAAAGTTACAGTAGTTGATTTTCAAGTATTAATAACTTGGCTATGTTAATTTGTTTTTAAATACCAAAATGATCAAATTATAGACTAAACTCTGGCTATGCCTGAATTTAAAAAAATTACTTTGAATATAAAAAAGTGCAAAAAAGCATGTGATGTCAGTTAACATTGTAACATTACAGGAACATCTAGACTTAGCATTCTCTTGCGAGTGAATTAAACAGGGAAAAAGAGAATGAGAAAAGAAAAAAAGAGAGAGAGCGTTCCCAATCTGAGACAGCACTGTCCCAAATTTCAGCAGAATACTAAATTCTACAGCCAAGTTAGAAACCCCAGAAAAATGGGGTTAACCATGGATATGCTGTCAGAAGTAACTATAGCAGTATTTGTGTTCCATTATAATACAAATGTACACCTTACCCACCTTTTTTCTCGGGGTAACCAGAAGAACAACTTTACAGGTATTCAGTTAAAACTAGAACCTCCCTTATTTCCCATCCTTCCCGTAATCTGTACAACTCTGTCTACTACTAAAATTGACTGCTACTAACCATCATCATCATACATTCAAGATAGAAAGTAAACTACTAAAACCTGCTCAGGAGACACTTAGAAGTACACTAAGGCTTGAAAAGTAGAGCAGCGCAGGGGAACGGCCGACCACAGGGGCGAACAGCGGCGTCGGATACGTTTGCCCAAGGACACGGATGTTGTGAAGTCCCATGCTGAACCCTGATCTCAGAGCAACAAAAACAGTTTGAAGAAAGATAGTTTTGACTGCAATCGCTCACACTACGTATGTGGTGTGTGATAGGACTCTGTGCCACTTAAACTAGGATATGAGCATTACTAGGTTGGTAACGCCAATATGACTTAACTGTTTGCTACTGCGCTAACACTGACACCTTGTTAGATTTGGTTCTCCTTTAAACATATGTTTCAGCTCGTCCCCTGAAAAATGATTCAAAGAATGGTTAAAAAAGCAAGAAAAGGCTTTCTAGTTTCAAAGCACACATATGAAAGAGGCAACAATTTCAAACTATTGTTTTTCTTCCAGTGTGATCAGCTGACCCGTTGCGTATCATTCTGTACAGATACAAACATAGCATTCTGCGTCCCTGGGAACCCTCGGAGCAGGAAATCCTGTGAGCTAATGCAAATTCAGGCCTGTTAAGTGAAACGAAGCAACGGAATGGCAATCCAGTCTCAGTGACCTTGCTCATGGATCATGACCTCATGAAGACAAAAGCAAATAAAAAGGCACAAGGCTCAGATCTCATTGATAGTTCGTTCAGATGGGCAGTATTCAGAGGTTCCCGGCGATGACATGTAGAAAGACTGTGTTTTCCTTTTTAACCTGGCTCGCTTGTTGGCCAGAGAGAGGCTGCGCCGGCTTGAATTGATGATTTCTGAAATAAACTTCTTGCAGTCCACGCACACCTCCATCGTGCTCCAGTCCTCCATCAATTCTTTGGGAAATTGTAGCTCTTCATGTGACCTATCCACAGATTTGGACCTTGAGGCCAACCTGAAAGGCGAAAGACCCATCTCATTATTTACCAGCATGCTACTGGGCCCCAAGGCAGGCCTGCTGGAAAATGCAAGACGAAGCAGCCTGGACTGAAATCTTGCTTCTTCCTGCCCTAGAAATGACCCAGGAGACCAAATAGTAGAGAGGACAGTTTTTATCTGGTTCAGTAAGACTGTAAGGTGACTAAACAAGGGCAGATATAAAGTTTAACTTAGCCAAACTAATCTTATAATAAATATACATTTATGATGCATTTGGCTAATTTTGACATAGCATCATAGCACAAGTGATTTATACAGAGGGTTCTGAACAGAGAGAATATAGGAACTGCTATACATCATCCAAAAGAGTGATCTTTTATATAAAATTTCTGGGATTAGCTTTGAAAACCATCTGTGTATATATAGTATAAAACCAACAGATACTTTGACAATGTGAAAATGAAAAAAAGTCCGTGGCTAGAAGATAAATTTGCGCAATACATGCAACTGAATTCCCATTCAGTTAGTGATTCCAGGCTGTGAGATTTATCTGCTAAGAGTCTATTCACATGGGGAAAAATACTGATGATATTTTTAGAGGTACCACAGGAATTCAGGTGTCCCAATCTCATGTTAATTTTTCATCTGTAATGTGAAAAAGGCTAAAGTCACACTGTTAGTATTACTCTTACTGAAAATAAGTAGGAGAAGTGAATGGAAGAGAAATGTTTTTTTAAGAAAGGTTATTACTAGCATTATAAACATTACAAACTACAACACAGGTAGACAGAATCTTCTTAATGATTTATACTTTGAGATGAAATGCTTAGGAAACATTTCCAATTGACAGATATGACCTACGGATGCTTCTCACCTGGGCACGCTCCTCACTGACCGGTGCTGACTGGTGGAGGGTTTCTCTGGCCTCATGAAGCTTTCTCCTCTCTGCAAGGTTGAAGGTCCCAGTGAGAAGATGGGGAGGGTGGAATATGGCTTTGACGGCAATCGCATCTGTTGTGAAAACAGTCAAAGGAACACGTGAAGCATCGTTAACCAAAGATTACAGATTTTTAAGAAGGGACAAAGCATATGTTTATTTACTTACTTTTTTGCAACACTGTGAGCATACAGGCCTGTGTAGGAAAGTGAGAGCATGAATTATCTAATTAGGAAAAATTATATTTAAATTAAGAATAAGGGATGAATGGATGAATGTTTTCAGGAGTTAGAATCCTGCCCTATCCCGTTATGAAAGCATTTTTATTTTTAAAGCTTCTTGAATATACTAACTTAAGTCAGAAGACAAAAGGGTTAAAAATAACAATAGCTAAAAACGAAAAAGAGAAAAGGAACCCTTTTTCCTAACCCTTTTTCCTCTGTAGAAACATCCTTTGGTAAGTGACATAAGATCAGTGACTCCACAGATCTCCAGACTTACTGTCTCACTGTTCAACTTAAAATTTTTTATTTTGTCAGCAAATGATTCGTCCCTTCTCCCCCTCCAGTCTCCTAAAAGTAATCCAAAAGGTAACATACTCTTCTGTCTTGAAATATTGTCCCCCAAAATAGACATTTTGGAACTGTTGATGGGGGAGTCTGAATAAATTCTACCTCACCCTCCCATGAACATAAAAGAATAAATGAGTGTTTCTTTCAGTTTTACCAAAGAATTTCAGTCTAAAGAAATGGTTCTGCACTTAGGTAGGAATAGTTTTTAAATACTTTTTTTTTTAACCCCAGCTGTAATTACAGAATAAAAAAAACAATAAACGCCATGTAGCAGAATTAGTGGGGGGTTTCTAATGTATAAATCCTCACATTTCACTCTGAAATGGCACTTATTTATTATCAGATATCAAATATTTACCTCTTACAGAACTGACAAGTGTAAGACCAGGTAAAGAAAGAAAACCTTCTTGTTCGACAGCAAAAGCAGAGCTAAAAGAAAAACAGAGGAGTTCACAATATTAGACAAAGTCCTGCATAATGACAAGTTCATCTGTCAGCTGCCATCAGTAAGACCACAGCTGCAGTACTGCATCCAGTTCTAGGGTCCACACTTCTAAGGGGATATTGAAAAGAATGATCCAGAATTTTATCTTTGCATATTTAGAAATACTCTTGTAATTCCAGCCTAAATAATTGCCAGTTAAATATTAACTTATTTTTACTCCTCCCTCACTGGTGTTTATATCATTGCTATAGAAAAATTTACAGCAAAGTAATGACAGCAAGAAAAAGTAACTGTTAGAACCGAGGAACACAAGAACAAATAGGCCTATGTTCAGCCATGGATAAATCTGGGCTGGAAATTACTGTTCCTAACAGTCTGTATCAGGTTCTGGAACTCAGAAGCGTTTGCCTGTGGTTGATAATTTTCTTCCAATCCTATGTTTTCAAAAACTGGGGGTGGAGGGGGGTCCAGGAAAGCACTATAATAGCAACCTTCCTTAAGGAAAACCTATTTTACAGTGAGATAATAAACCCCATCTATTTAGTTGATCCAAAGGAGGTAAGGATCACAGCTTAACAACATTTACATGAAGAAAAGGCAATGAAGAACGAAGAGCATGCTAAAGAAGCACCGGATGATCTACTGAGATCCAAAGACTGGGAGGTGAGACTAGACAAATTTGGTTAGAAATAAAAATGATCAATTTTAATAGTAGGAGTTAATCTACCAAAGCATCAGCCTACTCTGGAATTTGATAAAACCTCATTATTAAGTTTTATAGACCATGACAATATGCAATGGCTGAATTTAATGGGTGAATTTTTGAGATTCTGGTTCCCTCTGCCGTAAACACATGAAATCTACTAAATAAATCTACACATAAGAGACACACGCAGCCCTGTAGTCAAAATATATTGTGAAGCCAAAATATATTTGTTGATGGTGTTCAAGAAGCACCAGTCAAAAAGAGGAGGAAAAAGACACTGCTTCTATTGGTAAAAACCAATTCCCAACTGGCAGAAAAAAAGAGTATTAGTCACTGGGTTCTCTAACATCAAACCTTCTTCTTGGGTCACATGTTGCCTGACTTCTCTTGAAGGTTCTCATTCCCTCTTTGCTTGATACACAGGCCTCTGAATATCACAGCTACAGCTCACAAACCCCAAGACAGTGGTATGAATTATAACATCTTCAGCCGCCAGGGTGAAATATTTCTATTCACTTCATAATGCAGAAAAACAAGCAAATGAAAAAACCCAAGAATTCAGAAAGAGAAATCAGTAAATGCAAGTAGTGAAAGCTGTCAGAGACTATACTTAAAAGGGAACTATATTTAAAAGGGAGTTATTGCTCTTGGAGAGGAAAGTATTCACAGCTCTCGGAGAGGAAACAGAAAGAGGTCACTAGCCAACTTAAAGAATTTTACTGAGACTCTGGTTCACAGAAAAGTCGGACAGAAATCAGATTTGGGACTTATATTTAGTATTCTTTCAGTTAGAAAGTATTAGCATTCTTTCTGGTTAGCACAGTACGTCCTGCCTGCAGGGTCCATTGCCCCAGCGAGGTGAGACCTGAAGACTATCTCAGCGCACCTGGAGACTCTGAATAGGCAGCTCACTTGTTCTGGACTCTAAAAGGTGGAAGAGGGAAGTCTGGCATGGACAGAAAAAAAACCCCAAACCAAGAAGAGTGACCCAGTCTTTAACCAGACCCCACTAGGTTTCGTGATGTGAGAAAACTTGTTATGGGGTCACACAGAATATAATTGTGTTCCTGCTCTAGAAATGGGAAATAAATCGAGCTGGGGAAGATTCTGTTAATTTTGGAGGAGGAGAGGATACATACTGAAAAATTTTCTCTAAGTTCCTACAGCTAGCTGTAATTCTGTTTTCTGGAATAAGAATGCTGAGCAATACTGCACAAGGCATGGGGACAGAAAACACTTTAGTCAGTGAACATTAAAACACACATGGACAGACATGCTCTGATTTCTGCAAATGCTACTGCATTTTTATAGAAGATCTAAACAAATAAGCTATTTCTACAAAAAGCTTTGATGTGTCCAGCATATATTTTAAGGGAATTGCTCCATATGTTATACATTTAGGGGGATGTTTGGTGGGTATTTCTGCTTTTTCTCCCAAACACCATGAGAAACAAGTGGATCTGAGCAGTGAACTTAGATTGCAGTTCCCAGCTTGCTGTCGGGGAGTCGTGCGCAGGAGGCATGTGTGGCTTGGCCCCTCCCCACAGGCTTCAGAGCACCGATGGGTGCAGGCATACCTTCCCTTTCTTGAGAGCAGTGTAGATATCTTTATACTGCTGGTACTTTTCCAGCTCTGCCTTCACCAGCACCTGACGGATGTGCATGACTTCCTCCACTGTCAGAGCGAGACACTCCACGGGGTAGCAGAACTCCTCCTGGAAGCCAAAAAATCCATATTATTTTGAAGCCAAAGCACTTCCTTCCAGACTTCAACCTAGACAGCCAGCCACCTGGTTAGTAACTCCAGAAATTGAGGATTTCTCCCCTCAAACTGGAATAGCATTGGCGCATTCATGGGCATCACATGAGTTTCAAGCCAGCTGAGACTGCGTAAGCGTGATCTAAACGGTCTGATGTTCAGACTTCACGACAATGAGAGTTTTCTTCATTTTTCCTCCTCAAACCACACATCACTTGACCCTTCTCTCTATTTGTCTTTTGTTCTGAAGATTCATTTTAACCAATTAACATTCAGGTTTATAGTTTGAAAGGAAAAAGGTAATTTGGCACACGCTGTTTCTTGTGAGTATACTGTTTAAAGACAAGCAATTTCTCTGAGACTTTGTGGTGCCCAAAGTGGCCAAGGAAAGTTGTTAGTAGCCCCCTCTAGCAGAAATTTGTATTCAGTGGTACCATATCTTGATGCTCACATAATCAGAATCCCACCAGAACTACAAAAATACATTGCAGTTAAGGCAGAAAGCTTCTCCTTTGTGCCCCCAGGGCAACAACAGTAGCAGTTTAAGCTTTATAGAGTAATCTTCAAACATAAAGCATGAGAACTGGTTATCCAAAATTGCATTATTAATGGCAAAAAATCAAATACAGACTGATTACAAAACCACTTCCCACCTACAAAATTTCCCTATGTTTTGTACCACAGCATTTAGGAGAATATTGTGTAGCAGAACTCCTGAATTGGGTACCACAGAATAAAAATCATCCACCCAATTTGTAATCCAGCCCTGTAGTTGATTACACAGGTCCAACAGAAAGACAGAAACCTCCGTGGGAATTCCCATCACTTTATGCTTAGTGAGCCTTTTCAGCTAGCCCAGAGGGGCGACTGTGCTGAACTGACAATGACAAGTAACGCGCTCTGAATAAACGAAGGAAATGTCTCCTGCAAGCACAAAGACATTGCTGACAGTTTAGAGATCTCATTTATAAATCGAAGCGATGATTCAGATTAGTTGTGAAACGTTCGATTTACATGAACTTAGAGTTCCTTTCTGTCTTTCCATTAGATTTAAAAGAAAATCTTTCTACGTTGCAGACCTGGCAAACATTAGCATTTAGGAACCACCACATTTTTAAAAACCGTTGTCTTACCTATCTAGAAAGGGAACACAAAGAAACTTCACTCTGTTTAAAGTACCCCACAAAAGACTAGAATTGAGTTAACTTTGTTAGATTTGTCAGCTAAACCTTTGGGGTATATATCCTCACTAGTTTTCTGGAAAAAACAAACTGTCAAAAGCAACTGCAATTTCCTTTGAGGTGCAAAACTCCACAGCCCCATAAAATAACTTCTGTTCATTAGGATCAACTTCCTAGCTAACCAGCAGCTATCAGCATCTCATTTTGGGTCCTTTCCATAGCAACTGCCTTGCTGTAGAGAAAGCGCAGCTGATGGCCGGGGCGCCACGGGAGAGGAAGTGGGTGGGAAAGCACCAAGCACACAATGCCCGTAAAAACCTTCACTTCTGCATCGTGGGAGACTGCGACACCCTCCGCGCGGAATGAAGCTGACTGAATGGTTTTAATCAATCATCAGAGCTATAAGTCCTTTACAAATAGACTTCTTACTCGAAGGCACTTCCTTCCCCCTCCTGAACGCCCATTCCTTTAATTTATGGGCCGATGCCGTCAGTGAACACTGTTCCTTTGGAGCCGGTCGGTGGATCTACTACGGGTGGAGGGCAGGTACTAGGGGAACAGTGTGGCTCTGTTGTACCAATCAACAATGCTCATCACTACAGCAAACAGAAATAGCCAGCGGGCAACGGGGGAAACATAGAAAATGTTCACATGTTTAAATGCTAATGTTTTAATTCCAGAAGTTACACAAGGACAACAAAATGTTAATGCAACATTAAATGAAAGATAAATATTATGCGGACTTCGGAAAACTGCTTGAATTTTTTCCCTTTTCAGAATAGAAATAAGTACATGAGAAAATCTTTACTTTTAGCTTTGAGGCATTTAAACTAATCAAAATTAAACTAAGCACTGACTAAACTTCATTAAACAATGATGCTTTGGAGCTATTGCTCACACTTCCAACAATAATCTACACCCAGGTTAGGCAGCTCCGAGTGTGAGAACTTAAGTTCTCTGCAACACTTGCATACAACAGAACATATTAAAGACAAATCGTGGTTTGAACAGTCTTGATTTTCTGGATTTGTACTCAATACTTATCTTAATAGAAAAGATTATTCAGTATTCTTAAAGGAAAAAATCTTTTTAAAAAAATACTGGTTGAAGTTTCCATAACCCTCATGAGAATTTGCTTTTAACATTGACTGTGAAATCCTTATACATACACCACAAGAGCTTAAGGTGCATGTGTACAGCTAATATCTTTTAATCAGGAAAGGGAGGTACTAAGTATTACATATCCATAGTGTGAAATAAGGTGCTTGGTAGGTCATTCTCAGCATACACTCGCCGAATAGGTCCTTATGACCAACACATTTTCACACTAATATATCCCTTGCAAAACTTCTCATTAGAGGATGTCACTAGGCATTGAAATGAGCTGCCCAAGCGTAATATGAACTGCTGCTTGACTGGCCACTAAATTCTGCAATTCACAAGTAGTCAAGCACTCTAAGCTCCTCATGTTCTGCAGACTAAAACTTTCTAAAATGTAAGCTGGATATCTGAACTATAATCTCTTCTGCAACAGGTTTAACACGTTCAACTTTCGGTCGGGACAGGAAAAAGAAGTAAAAATTTAAATTATTCATGGCCAATGCAACATAGGGGTTAAAGAATCAGCCTTTCTTGTTAGTAGATGTGCCTACCCTGGTGCATTGCTATTAATCATTCCGCAAGTTCTGACAGGTAAGTGTGCTGAGGAACAAAACCATATTTAGGTTTTGAAGCAAAAAAGGTTGCAAATGCCCTTCCATTCTACATGATAGATCTTGTTAGAAGCACAAAAACTTAATCTTTTTAACATAGTCCATGGATTACAATAACTCTGCCGGACTTTTGCTGCAAGATCTTCATGTGCTGTAACATTTAAGGTCTGTTCCATTGGCAATCTTGTGATGTTGCATTTTTAGTTTGCTGTCCTTTCAGAACTGATTTCTTTTCCCCGTGAGGTGATCGAAGACACACATAAATATCCTACACACATTGTAATCAATGTCAATCAGGTGCAGTGTCCCAGCCTAAGCTTTAATTCTTGCCACAGCTTAGGAAGTGCTCCCCTAAGAGGGAACATGCTGGTGAAGGTGATTTCCAAAGCCAGCAAAAAGAGGCAAACCTTTGCGGGTTTCCACCTGCTGGCAAAAGCTCTCTCACAGAGATAGTACATAGCCCCTGCCACCCCACACATGGCTGCTTCAACGGGATGAGAGCTGAGCAGAGAAGCTGTTTGCATAGATGAAAAAAGTGGTCTGAAAGTCATCCTTGGAAATAAACTGGTTATCCTAGGAACCTGAACAATAGACAGGAAGCAGAGAAGCGAATGCTGTGTATAAATGAAACCATTAACTTCGGTCCTTTGGATCGTGAAAATAATGATAATAATGATCATCATCATAATTATTATTTAAAAAGCAAACAAACTACAAAGGCATTCATATGCACACCTCAGGACACTGGATTCATTTCACCGGTTAAACAACGAGTTAGCTCTCAAGTGTAAGCACACCATCAGACTGGATCTTGAAAAAGAGCACTGAGCTGTCTTGCCATGCTTATGCCTTTCCATTTGGCACTCGTAGGCTAACATAGCAAAAGGACTATGTTTGGCATCCTTCCAAGTTTGTTTCCCCTCCCCACCTACTTAGCTCTAATCCCCTCTGTCTGATGAGATGCCAGGTCACAAAATCGTAGTTAGTATGCAAGGCAGACCAGTTTCTTGCTAATCCTGCTAAGAGACTGTAGCAAAGTCCTGCCTGTTTTCAGTGGCACTGAGGACTATTTATTGACGAGGCCTCCTTCACCTTGAGGAGAAACTGCAGTCACAGGAGCAGATGATAAGAAATGAAACTCCATCAATCCTGGAGGAAGGGATGAAGAAGTGTAAAATCAAATAAAAAGTAAATAATATTCTGCACTTACTTAGAAGTGTTCGCTTACGGAACTGCCGCGTTACAAATGCAGCATCTGGCATGTAAGCCTCTGAAAGAAGCTGGCATCCTCCGGGGAAGGAAGATGCTGCAGTAAGCCAAAGTGTGTAACTGGGCCAGTGCCAGCGTATCAGAAACCGTCTACTAAAATTAAAAACAACGGAAGTATTGTGGGAATTGTCTGTCACACCCTAGAGGGCACTATTGCCAAGATTAAGAATTAGCTCTCTAGGCATCAGATAAAACAGGTTCTTATTAAGGGAACATCCTTTCACCACTGATTTTCCGTGTTTTTCACTTCATAGTCAAAACCAAGTTAGGCGACAGCTCTGAAGCAAAAAACAAAACAAACCAAATAACCAAACAAAAAAAACCCTAGCAAAACCTGCCCTATCTGTTCTAAAACTTTAATTTAAGCAACATAGCTCAAGAATTCTGCAGATGTCTTTCTCTACGTTTGGCTGACTTATCTAATGACTTTTTCTCCCCTTCCTTTAATATTTCTATGGGGGAGTGGAATAATCGAATGAATTTTTCTGCAATGGTTTTTTACTTCATACATATCTTTCTAGGCATAGGTCAGTAAACAGACTGACAGAAGGAAAACACATATGTGGTCAGAAAGGTCCTGTTAAGACTTTGGTTCAGCTATTTAAAACAATGGCCTCATATATTAGATTTTGAAGTTCCATGACCCCCTCAAATACATGAGGTGAGATCAATGTTATGAAGTAACATATTTAGATACATTAAAAAATGGAAAGAGTAAATGTCTCAGTGTAACATATAATGCTTCCCCCCCTCCTCCCTTTAAATAATGTGTCTGTGAATGACCATGGGCCTATCAGAAAATAAATCTGGTGCTTCCATATATAGTGAGTGCTGCAGGTGATGACAGAACAATCCATTTTATACCGATAACATCTTCATCCACATGCTGAAGGAACCCTCCAGCTCAGGTCTTGTGCAATATGCAGTTCTCAAGGTTAACTCTGGCAGAACAACGCTACTTGTGCTGTGCGTTTATACTACCTGCCTTTCAGTTGGAATGAGAAACTATATTTCAGTCAGAAAGATGTAATAAACGAAATCCACCAGACCCTCTGAAAAGAAGTGGAGGAAGCAAGTTGCGAGAACATTTGGAGATTATTTTGTTACAGTTCAACTTCATCATCTAACAGGTTTGGATCCGGGCCACCATCTCTTGGGCCAACAAGAACACCCTTCAAAGCCCGTTAGTGCCACTGTACCAAAAGATGGGGCGAACGAATATTGCCTTCCTTTCAAAACTTGAATGTGTTTATCGATTTCTCTATTCACCAGCACCTCACGGGGCATATTTGGAAACCCTGCTGGTAGGAAAAGAGACAAGGAACACATCCTGCATGAAATTACAGAGCACTAATCAGTGTGTCAGCATAACAGAACTAGAATTTCATACCCTTTGCCACTTATACTCTGTTGGAAAACAGCTGTCAATTAAAGCTAATTGATCAAATGTACTGTACTTTCTTTCCACGGAGCAGTACAGGTTTTTGCCTCAGTGACTTCAACAAAGCAGCATAGTCAAACGTTGATTCGGATTACTGAAAGAGCTTTCACATGTATAAACATTAACCACACAAGTTCTTAAGGTGGGAAGAAAAGAAGCCATTCCATTCATTCATTCATCCATTAATTAAAACATTTCTAGCAACTGAAAAACAAAATAGATCCACTGCTTTGGAATCATCTCTATCCAAATGGAAATTCAGTAATTTGAGGCACACCTGTTTCGGTAACATTCTGAAATAAAACAAGGCACGTGGCTTTACCCACATCGTCCTAATCGCAGTGCAAATGTTTTCTGAGGCACCTGTACCTGGGATTTTGGATCAATATGCTAGAGAGACAAAGTTCAAATCTTGATTTCAAAATGTCCTTCCTTAGTAGCCAAGGGCTGTTTCTGAATTGAGGAGTTTTCTCTGAGTCAAGTTCTAATCACACTGAAGCCAAGTTTTAATTTTCATTATTCTGTTAGCATGCCTCCTTTTCTCTTTCCTACCACCCATTACACTTACAAGTGATCTGGAGCTCTGCTTTGAAGGTGGTAGGAACTGTCTCACATTGGTTGGCGTTTCCTTTTCAATGGAGTGTCGTCTCTGAGGTGGCTGCCGTCTCTCTGGTTGTGGTGTAGATGATATCGGCAAGAACTTTGGAGGCACTAAAGATTCAACCGGGAGAAATAATTTGCTCTCATAAGAAAGACGGTTGGATAACATTGTTCTGTACTTAAAACAGCCATAAATTTGATAAATTCCTCCTATTGGCGGCTGAAGTCATGCACACACACACATAGCACGTTCAGCACAGTCCATTAGATGGATCACATTTTCCAAGATGGAGAGAACAGGAATACTCATAAAAACAGCACATATAGACACGCTACTTCCAATCACTGGTGTATGTACCACTGTACCACTCAGTGTTTCAAGCTATTGGCTTGTCCAACCTATTCACCACTGGGCACAGAAAATACATGAGTAGATTACACATTCCATGAGAAAAGCTTTTCCACTGAAACACTCTGAAAAAAATTAAAATATTGTTACACAGTAACACCTACAATAATTGTAACTGAAAGAAAGAAAACAGATTCTGCCCTCTTCCAAGTAAGTACTTTTCTTATTCGGAATACCTGTGATCGCTAGGTGTACATTCACTGAAATGTTGGCAAAGGAGCAGGAAACTAGTCTTAGGGTAAAATATGTTTTTGTAGCAACACAGCCTTTTATGAGCACAGCCAAACTACCTCCTGTTCACTACTACCTTCACGATTCCAGTTGTTCTCTTTAGACTTACTATAGTGTTGGCCTGAAATTTATATAAGACTGCGTAAAGCTCTGATATAAAGACCTCATTCCACAGCAACACTCCTTGGCGCTATCAAATTCTCTAAATGATCCTGAAGCTCAACCATGCAGAACAGGAATTTTTGCAAATGCTAGTATAAGGATCTGGTATGTCTCCACCTTGCCCTGGGAACTGAAGTTCATAAATATGTACCAACTGATTAAAGTATGTTACCTCACTTCCTCTGCAAGGCCTAAATGAAAACTGTTGGCTCAAAACAACAGAATATTAAAGTGGAAATACAATTTCTTGCGTAGGCTGACCAATCCCCCTCTTTCAAACTGGAAGCCAGAGGAATCACAGAGGACATACGGTGCTGTATTTTAATAACACGCATAAACATTTAGATGAAAAGGATGCACACACTTTTTCAGAAAATGTTGGTAAACTGAAAATATATAAGGGGCTATAGGAGTTTCCATTGCTGTAAAATTGTCTTAACGGGTTGACTGAGTTAATGTCACTGTAGGCCAACACAGTCTTTTCTTTCCAACACAGTCAATAAAATGCTTCTTCACACTCTTCCTGCTAATTCTAGGACAAAATTGCTATTTAGTCCAAGAATGTTTTAACAATATTTTTCTACTCTTGAGATACCTGTACTTGTTTCTTTTGTCTCCAGAAGTATGAAACCTTCTGTTTCATGAAGATATCCACATATTGCACAGAACAGGGTAATGCCTTCCAGGCATTAATTAGATTTGACCTATTCAGCAGGCTCTAGGATTCAGCTTTATGGACTTATTCCATTAACACTACTCAGCTTCAGCTTTCTATAAAGGAGCTTCAGACAGACAAAGTGCATCTAACAGAAGGCAACAGAAGTAGGGAAAAGCAGCCACTCTGCTGCAAACTCACTCTTTCTGCTGCTGGTGCCTTCCTGAAAGGGGTCTTCCATTTGAGAGGGGGAAATGCTGCTGCTACTTGCTGATTTGTCCACTGACTCCTCCTGTGTAGAAACAAGAATACAAGAAATATGAGTCCTCAGAAATTTTTTTTGTCATATTGCTTCTTATCACACAGAAATCACAAGCTATCAAAGGGATGTTACAGCATGAAAACACTCAAAACCCTAGAATAAGCACTGAGAAAAATGTTGACTCTAGGCAGCACTGAGTAAATGGAATTTTCTAAGCTCAGCTTTTTCAGAAACTAAATAAACGGTATCTGGTTGGAATTCAGTGTATTTAATTACATCCTAAAAGAACAGGATCAGAAAGATGGATGAATCCATTGTAATCTGTTACTTTTCCTCAACTAACTGCTCATGGTATTCAGGGCCCTGTAACGATCTGTAATTACAAGAGATAAATTAACTCAACCTCATATGTCATACTAGCAAGGAAGGAATCAGCACTTGGACTTCTCTGGTCTCCGACGGAGACTTTCTATATAGGTAGGTCTCCACTCCGATATAGAAGTGACTCGGGCAAAGAGAAATTAATCAGATCACCACTGCATAGTTCTTTAATCCCTGATCCTGCTGCATTTCTCCATCCTTCTGTATCTAAAAGAAATATTATTCATTACATAAGCATGTTTCATCACAACTGCCAACAGCAATTCTGGCAAGATGAACGAAAATGAAACAGGCTTTGACTAATACCTTTCAGCTGTCGAAGGAATCATGCCACCCAAAATATTAAGTCCTTTGCCTCCACCTAAAATCTCTGTCTTCAGCCACCAGGCATGAGCAAGATACAGATCATCGCAGGAGCCTCCCAGAGGAACAGAGTTGAAGGACTGACTGTGAAGGTGGTTTAGTTCTAATGGGAATGCTTTTAACCAAGGGCATTTGCATCATTTAAGTTGTCAAGTTTTACAGATCAAACAAGCGATCTGCTCTAAAAAACAGCAAAGAGCTGAGCTTCTCTGTCACAGACTTCTTTAGTTACATGAATTGCAAGCAGGAAAATCTCCACTAACCAACATAATGCCTTCTCGGGTAATAGAAAATGAGGAAAGAAAAGCCGGCAGGATCGTCTCAATGAACGCCATGCATCACAGGACAGAGGCCTTTACAAATTCCCATCAGATGATCTGTGCTTAACGCTGAGCCTGAGGATAGGCACGGTGCTGCAGACTGTGCCCATCTACATGCCACAGAACAACCTTACTCAGAGAGACTCAAACCAGCTCCGATGCCCAAACAATGCATTCACTTTAACATACGCAGTAGACCCCTGCAAAACAGCTGCAATGAGAAACTTGCAGAGAAATCTGAGCAGTGCATTTAGCTACATCAGCTGAACTACTTCCAGAACCCAGGAAAAGTTATTCAGAGCTGCCTCAGAGATCTTTACATATCACTGCTTCAGGCCACATGGTCACCCTAAAAGACCACTGGAGACCTTGCGAGATAATTGGACGCACTCAACTTCAAAAGCGGTACCGCAGTGCTCACAAGACAGAGCGACAC